ATTTGATCCCCTATCAGTCAACAAGATTGCTGGCTCTCAAGTGTCTTTTATACAGGTAAGGAACTGAGATTAGGAGCACTCTCTTAAAGGGAGTGCCCCTAATCTCAGCTAGTTACCTGTATAAAAGACACCTGTCCACAGAAGCAATCAATCAGATTCCAAGCTCTCCTCCATGGGCAAGACCAAAGAGCTGTCCAAGGATGTCAAGGACAAAATTGTAGACGTACACAAGGCTGGAATGGGCTACAAGAACAGTTGGTGCGATTATTCGCAAATGGAAGAAACACAAAATAACGGTCAGTCTCCCTCGGTCTGGTGCTCCATGCAAGATCTCACCTCGTGGAGTTTCAATTATCATGAGAACAGTGAGGAATCAGCCCAGAAATACATGGGAGGATCTGGTTAATGATCTCAAGGCAACTGGGACCATAGTCACCAAGAAAACAATTGGTAACACACTACGCCATGAAGGACTGAAATCCTGCAGCACCCTTGCTCAAGAAAGCACTTGAACAGACCGGTCTGAAGTTTGCCAATGAACCTCTGAATGATTCAGGGGGGAACTGGGTAAAAGTGTTGTGGTCAGATGAGACCAAAATCAGGCTCGTTGGCATCAACTCAACTCTCCGTGTTTGGAGGAGGAGGAATGCTGCGTATGACCCCAAGAAAACCATCCCCAAGTCAAACATGGAGGTGGAAACATTATGCTTTGGGGGTGTTTTTCTGCTAAGAGGACAGGACAACTGCACCGCATCAAAGGGACGATGGGCGGGGCCATGTGCCCTCAGCCAGGGCATTGAAAATGGGTCGTGGATGGGTATTCCAGCATGACAATGACCCAAAACACATAGCCAAGGCAACAAAGGAGTGGCTCAAGAAGAAGCACATTAAAGCCCTGGAGTGGCCTAGCTAGTCTCCAGACCTTAATCCCATAGAAAATCTGTGGAGGGAGCTGAAGGTTCCAGTTGCCAAACTTCAGCTTCGAAACCTTAAAGACTTGGAGGGGGACAAAATCCCTTTTGAGATGTGTGAAAACCTGGTGGCCAACTACAAGAAACGTCTGACCTCTGTGATTGCCACCAAGTATTAAGTCAAAGGGGTCAAATACTTATTTCCCTCATTGACATGCAAATAAATTTATAACTTTTTTTTTTTTTTACATGCGTTTTTCTGGATTTTTTGGGGTTATTCTGTCTTTCACTGTTAAAATACAACTACCATTAAAATTATAGACTGAGTATTTCTTTGTCAGTGGGCAAATGTTCAAAATCAGCAGGGGATCAAATACTTATTTCCCTCACTGTATAGGGCTGACAGCTATTTTTATTTTACAGAGAGACAGCTATTGTGGAGGAGAGTGGGGTGGTTTCTACCTAGAGGTGTTGTAAAGAAAGGTGGGGTTGTTGTGCAGTGGTGGTGGTAGTATGGGTGTTGCAGGTGTGGTGAAGGGGTGTGGGTATTATATGGCAAGGGTAGTGTTGCTGTTGTGGGACATTGGTAAAGGACGGTGGGGTTGTTATGCAGTGGTGGTGGTTGTTGTTTGGGTGTTGCAGGACAGGGGTGGATGGGTGTGTGGGTTGCATGCACGGGTATTGTAAAGGAATGTGGGGTTGTTCTACAGAGGTAGTGGTGGTGATGGTGGTTGTTGTGGGACAATGGTAAAGGACGTTTGGGTTGTTACAAAGTGGAGGTGGTAGTTGTGTGGCTGTTGTGGGACAATGGTAAAGCAAAGTGGGGTTATTTTGCAGTGTTGGAAGTAGTGTGGTTGTGGGACAATGGTAAAGGAAGGTGGGGTTGTTATGCAGTGGTGGTGGTAATAGTGTGGTTGTTGTGGGACAATGGTGATGGTGGTGGTAGTTTGAGTGTTGCAGGAGTGGTGGAGGTGTGTTGGGGTTGTTGTATGGCAGGGGTAGTGTGGTTGTTGTGGGACAATGGTAAAGGTAGGTGAAGTTGTTATGCAGTGGTGGTGGTAGTTTGAGTGTTGCAGGAGTGGTGGAGGGGTTGTTGTATGGCAGGGGTAGTGTGGTTGTTGTGGGACAATGGTAAAGGAAGATCTGGTTGATGTTTGACAGTTGTGGAGCAGATTGGGGTGGTCTGGTAAAGGTGGAGGCAAGTGCGGTTATTGCTCCATGATGGAGGTAGATTAAGTTGTTGCAATTCCATCGTGGAGATGCAGGGTCTCCTTCAGCAGAAGAAAATTTTACTGTTTGGGTGAAGAGTGAGGAAGGACAGAGCATTATTTGTGACAATTGAGAAAAGGAATGGCTTTTTATGATTACATTGATCATATTCTTGGTCATGATTGAAGAGAGTGGTGTTGACTATCAGAATGCCAAAAAAGTTGATAGTGGACACGTCGCATTGAGTAAAAGTGAGGAGATCTTTGCAGAGAAGTAGACGTGGTTTCTTTGCAGAGAAGTAGACGTGCTTTCAGAGTGGAAGAAGAGTTGTGGGAGCTAAATATAAACTTGCAGTAAATTAAATACAACTGAAATTTCAAACTAGAAAATCTACATTTTTGAAAGTGTTGTTTTGAAGGCAATATGTGTTGTATTCTAGAACAAAGATGCTTAGTGTGTACAGGAGACTGTCAGTTCCGAAGGCAGGCTGGGGTTCCGAGTATCTGATCAGTTAATGAAGAATGCTGCTCGAGTTACAAATGGGTGGCTAAGGGTGAAGTCTGAGGCAATGTTCATATAGAAGATTGGGAGAAATAATATTTTGTGATGAAGCAGGGGAGGGAATAGACCATTGTGAGTGTAAATCTGCGTCTTCCTTTTCCTCAGGCCAAGCAGAGACATGATATCACGCTGCTGTGGGACCGCGAGGTCATGGATGTTCTTGCAGATGGATACAATGTGCACTATGGTGCTCGGTCTATAAAGCACGAGGTAAAGCTTTTCTCCAACTTAATGTCATCCAATGCTCACCATTCCAGTTCTCAGGAGTCAATGGGAACATATAGATTTACATTTTCACATAGTTTCTTCTGATTAGACTCAGGAGTTGCTTACGGCTCCTTCTTGCTTAGACCGTGGTCCTAATGGAGTTAACTGCTTAGAACCTCCTCCTTCCTCCTACATTATTTTGTGCTGCTTCGTGTTCTGGTAATATTGCTAATGCATATGGAGAGAGATTGAGGATTTTATTTTATTAAGTAATTAATTGCTAACTTAGGTTAAAGTAGCCAACAAGGAAATTTGGTAAATTTGTAGAATAATGTTTTGATACTATTTATTTAGTTCATTTAAATAAAGGGACTGTGCTGTACTACTTAAACACACAATCCAGTAAGCATGCACTTTTTTAAACTTATTCTGCAGGTGGACAGGCGGGTAGTTAACCAGTTAGCTGCTGCCTATGAGCAAGATTTGCTGCCCCACGGCTGTACAATCCGGATTACAGTGGATGATTCTGATAAATCTCTCCTGAAAGGCGGAGGACTGGACAAGGAGGAGGACACCACCGGCAGAAAGGGGCCCAGGCTGCGTCTGGAAATTGTAGAGCAAGGCAGCAAGAACCGAAAACTGGATATTCAGGAGCCACTTAGTCCAGAAAACGTGGCTTTCTGAACCCAGAAGAGACCTACAGATCATCACTCATACATTTGGATCCCAGGCAACCTTACAATGTTTTAAATAAACACCAACACTGATTAAGAGAACCTATCCTAGCTGTGCTGTCCATGCAACCAATGAACACCTGGCAGATTAGGACTCCTCATAACGTACCTGACTATGCAACCAATGAACAGCAGATTAGGACACGTTATCATAACGTCCCTGACATTTAAACCACTGAACATCCAGCATAATTAACACATGGACCGAACAAGACTCCATTTTGTAGCCACACTACTTCAAGATGACACATGGCCATTCTGGACTACATATTCCAGCAACACTCACCATAAATCCAAAAGAAATGTGGCTTAATGCCAACCACCCTGACTATGTAACTAGTAAACACCTGACTAAATAGGACTCCTTACAGCCATACATCCAAAACACTCGTGGCCAGTCAAGACTCCTTGTCCCAACCACGCCAACACAGCCATAAATGTAAACTGGTAGGGACTGCTCATCTCGCTAAATAAAATATTGGCTGGATTAAAATCATGGTAAAACATCCGGTATTCCACGATGACTGCCGTGTGTATCACTTCTATCTCGTTCTATCTGGTGAAATAAATATCTATCACATTCCGAGTAATTTAGCACCCATCGTTTTTTCGTTTTATTAGATCATATACTAAAAACATTATATTCTGCCTTAAAACAAAGTAGACAAAGGACAAGATCCCCTCGGACAGTAATGGGAGATTCTGTCCAACAATATAGGAGGGAAAAGCACTGATGGGATTGTCATTGGGTTCGGGAGTCTCTTGGTGTTTTTCCTTCAATCCTCCACTAGTCCTAATTCCAGATGTGCTGAATATAGTGAAAGTATTCAGTTTGTAGAGTTTTCCCAATATAATGGACACAACCAGTCATATTGGGTAAAAGCAGCAATCTGCCTAATCTTTATTAGGCCACACTCCGCTTTTTATGCAGTGCCCCTATCATGGGGTTCCAATACAAAATCACAGGGGTTTCCGTACCACAAGCCATTGTGTTTGAGAGATAATTGAGCTCCAATTAAGCTAATTCAATTATCTCTCAAATAGGAAAACTTACACACAATTTTTACATATCACAAAAATACATGACAACAGAATTGGAACCCCACAAATATATTTCCGAATAGCCCTGATCTGAGCGCACAACATATCCAAAAAGCTCTCAGAACGGTTTGGTAAAACGAAAGTTATGTTCGTGCATATATGAACTGGCTGCCTGGTAGAGGTGGTATTGTCAATTTAAAAAGGGGTTAATTTGATTGTATGGGAGGTCATAGCTTACAACCTAAATTACTCTTTTAAGCTGGGACCCCAGCAGAGCTACTCTGTAAGGAGTGCGAAGTCACACATAAGTGGCCTGGAAGTCTGGTTAATTTGTCATATGTATTGATTCCCTCTCTGATAAGTAGTCCTTTGATATGAACCAGCCTTGTGTTCCAATATTATATAAAAAGAGGCATTAATACCCATCCACAGATTAATACTCCAGCCTCATTTTTATCATATTTAGAATGGGACAAGCACAGTCTTCCAATCAAGCCTAAACATGGTTTGCGATCAAGGGGACCCCACAGAATCTGTTCGGTAACTGAACAGAGGGAACAATTCCATCCAAATGCAGGGAAAAATCTGACGATACAATGTATAATTAAGGGAACACGTACGAGGAGTCCCATCTCCCGTGACAGGGGTGTCCCAGCGGTTAGTGCTCTACTGTCTATCTCTTTACACAGCATAAATCCATCTGTCTCTTTAGATGCTGTGTGGCTGTCTCATTAGATCATTTCTCTTTACATGGCATAGTCCAATTGTCTCTTAACATGGAATTTGGCTGTCTCCTTACACCTTGTCTCTTTTACAATGCACAGTCCTGGCTGTCTCAGACCGTGTCTCTTTACACGGCATTTGGCTGTCTCAGACCGTGTCTCTTTACACGGCATGTGGCTGTCTCTTTACACAGAGTATGGTTTGAATTCCCACAGATTCTGAGTAAAGAACCTTACGTTACAATGTCAGAATTTCTGGACAACAAGTGAAGGATAAGCAGGGGGCCATTCTATACTCCTGCACCCAGGAGGTGACTTTGTGGATGTGTCCCTCCCACATGGTTACAGAGAACAATACTCCCTCAAATGATCTGCTCAATGTTATTCCAAGCACCCGGCACTAAACTAACCTCAGCAAGGGCGAATCCACCTGGTTATGGTGCAAGGAAGCTGTTCCTGAATCATATTTCTAAATCCATCATGTTTTCATGTTTAACTTTAAGAGACACTATAACCACCAGAACATGTAGTAATTACCGGCAGGCTTTTTATTTTTTTACAGAAAGGGCAGTGTTTACATTGCTGCCTATGAACACCTCTAGATCCTGTTGCTCAGACGGCCACTAGAGGAGCTTCCTGGGTTATTGCTGCACATTGTTGTTCAAAGTCCACACGCTGTGCATGGAGACACTGAACATTGATTCGATGTATCACTATGAGGAGCTGCTGATTGGCGCAGAGTGGCATTTTGCAACATTTACGCTTTAGCTTTCCAATTCAATTCTGATGATCACAGCCAAGGAGGTGTTTTGGGGACAGGGCCAGCGCCATCAAACTCACGTGGCGCTGGAAAAAAGGTGAGGTTGAATTCTTTTTAAGGGGGGGGGGCAAGCCACATAAACATGTTTTATAAGATCAGGAATACAAATTCCTCTCTGTCGGTTTTGATTTTGAGAAGGAAGTCCCGGATTATTTACTAAACTGATTGTCAAGACTCAAAGTTTATTTCGAAGTTTAGGTTAAAATATTGACTTATAACAATAAGTTTTTTTTTAAACACAACGGAGAAGTGGCATTGTGCTTTAAGTTTAACAGCTAAAGTGTCAATTAAACAAACCAATTAAATACAAAATGAATCTCTGTGGTCAAACAGCCACTACTCCTCATGTGTTCCATATTAAGGGTTAATAAGTGTGTAGGTGTTTAGAAATATACCCCTCTCTGAAAAGCAGCAAGGTGAATTGTCGGTGTAGGACTCGCCTAAGAGGTTTTGCCTTGACTTGGCAGGTGAGCTTACACGTTAATGGCTATTGGAGTGATACTAAACCTCCAGTTATTTAGACGTGCGTAGGGATTTGGGATAGCGCCCAGGTAATTTTTTTTCTTTTGGTTTTTAGACTCATATTTGCCTTGGATTTTATTAATTGGCATGAAACGAGTGCCAGCGCACACACACAGCCAAATCGGCTATTTGTGTTGGGTGTCAAACATTCCCCCTCCCCCTGCTTGAATTCAGGTGCCCTGCTGAGTTCCTGATTCACCAGCTAAAAGCCAAATTGCATTACAATGATAATTCCTCTACTTTGCCTATTCCTCCCCCCCATTCTAGTCCCAGCTGCAGCCGATGTGCTCCCAGCCATCAGTCTCTCCCTCCCGTCTGACTTGTCTAAAGCTCGAATGAGATTGGTGCTGTCATTACAGTAATTCTTTTACTCATTTGTAAACTAAACACTTTCATTAGTGAATTAAAAAATACAATTGCAAACTGTCAGAAAACTATCCAAGCCTGCTGCCACCCCAGTTTAGCTATTTCAGTCAGTATCTGGTTTGGAAAACATATTCCTTGGTTTACTTTAATACTTTACTATTATAAATATTTCAATTCTTGCAAACTGCTGTTATTTGGAAACCTCAGAGTCTATTCGATAAACACTGACTTGTGCGGAGTTCATAAATTACCTAAAAAAATATTGTTTTGTGGATAACTACATCAATTCCTATTAACTGATATCATTTATAGTTCGCACTGTGGGTAGTAAATAAAGAGCTGAGTAAAAATAAACTGGCAGTACGTAAAATACGTGGGACGGTTTTATAGCTGCAGTTAAAATACACTGTGTGCAGGGAGACAGGGGACCTCCTTACACCATAACCTTATAGCTACAGTTATAATACACTGTGTGCAGGAAGACAGGGGACCTTCTTACACCATAACCTTATAGCTGCAGTTATAATACACTGTGTGTGGGGAGACAGGGGACCTCCTTACACCATAACCTTATAGCTGCAGTTATAATACACTGTGTGCGGGGAGACAGGGGACCTCCTTACACCATAACCTTATAGCTGCAGTTATAATACACTGTGTGCGGGGAGACAGGGGACCTCCTTACACCATAACCTTATAGCTGCAGTTATAATACACTGTGTGCAGGAAGACAGGGGACCTTCTTACACCATAACCTTATAGCTGCAGTTATAATACACTGTGTGCAGGGAGACAGGGGACCTCCATACACCATAACCTTATAGCTGCAGTTATACACTGTGCGGGGAGACAGGTGACCTCCTTACACCATAATCTTATAGCTGCAGTTATAATACACAATGTGCAGGGAGACAGGGGACCTCCTTACACCATAACCTTGTAGCTGCAGTTATAATACACTGTGTGCGGGGAGACAGGGGACCTCTTTACACCATAACCTTATAGCTGCAGTTATAATACACTGTGTGCAGGGAGACAGGGGACCTCCTTACACCATAACCTTATAGCTGCAGTTATAATACACTGTGTGCGGGGAGACAGGGGACCTCCTTACACCATAACCTTATAGCTGCAGTTATAATACACAATGTGCAGGGAGACAGGGGACCTCCTTACACCATAACCTTGTAGCTGCAGTTATAATACACTGTGTGCGGGGAGACAGTGAGACACTGTGTGCTTTTACACCATAACCTTATAGCTGCAGTTATAATACACTGTGTGCAGGGAGACAGGGGACCTCCTTACACCATAACCTTATAGCTGCAGTTATAATACACTGTGTGCAGGGAGACAGGGGACCTCCTTACACCATAACCTTATAGCTGCAGTTATACACTGTGCGGGGAGACAGGGGACCTCCTTACACCATAACCTTATAGCTGCAGTTATAATACACTGTGTGCAGGGAGACAGGGGACCTCCTTACACCATAACCTTATAGCTGCAGTTATAATACACTGTGTGCGGGGAGACAGGGGACCTCCTTACACCATAACCTTATGGCTGCAGTTATAATACACTGTGTGCGGGGAGACAGGGGACCTCCTTACACCATAACCTTATAGCTGCAGTTATAATACACTGTGTGCGGGGAGACAGGGGACCTCCTTACACCATAACCTTATAGCTGCATTTATAATACACTGTGTGCGGGGAGACAGGGGACCTCCTTACACCATAACCTTATGGCTCCCGTTATAATACACTGTGTGCGGGGAGACAGAGGACTTCCTTACACCATTCCCTGAACCTAAGGAGAGCAAGTCGAGTGTGTTCTCGCTATGCTTGCCAGTGACCGTTCCCTGGTGTCCCCAAAAGTGTGACATTCGAGACAGCACAAATTGGGACACTGCCGCCAAAAATGACAAAGTTGAGAGGCATACAGACAGACATACATACATACACACAGTTAATTTTGCTTACCTTTTTTTTGCAGGAGGGTGGCTGTGGCTGATGGGAGTCGGTGTGGCTCCCGCGGCTTGGCTCTCTTCCTTCCCGCGTGGAGGGAGCTGGGAGGAAATGATCACCGGCTGTCACTTCCTCCCAGCAGTATTTGTGGCTGCGCTGTTGCACGGCCGCAGCGCTGACCGGGCCCCTGAAGATATAGGGCCCATCTGGTGGCCCTGAGTGCTTGGGCTGGGTTCAGGATCCAGCTCGCGGGCCGTAGTTTGAAGACCCCTGCTATAGGCATTGAGACACCTTCATCTGAGTGATGTCACTCGTTTTAACGTTATGAAACACTGCTGATCTGCAGGATGGCAATGTTTACATTACAAGATTTAAATGCCTTTAGTGGATATCACTCTGGCAAGCAAGTGGAATTCACAGATTCCATCTGATTAGCGCAGGGCTGTGCTTTGCTTTTCTATGGCAAAGCATTGGATTGGCTGAGATCATCAAGATTGACAATCTCTGCCACAGAGGCGGGGCCCGCCATGGAGAGCAGCGCAGTGTGGGATAACAGGTAAGTTTACTTTAATACTTTTAACCCATGCATAGGAGATTGACCTATGTGGCGACTAGGACACTATGGCATTAGAAATACACATATCTCTTCCTACAGTATTCCTTTGATGTAGGCATTGTTTGTATTGAACACATTAACTAAAGGCAGGTGTTTGTAGTATTTGTTCTGCTCATCTGCACATACACAAAACCATTGTTTTCAGTGATTTATCAAGTCCTTTTGGCTGTTAAATGAAATAAGAGAAATGGTTTTGTTGTGTAGATAAATCTTCGGAGTAATTGTGATAGCTTTAATAAATTCACAGTTTATGGAGGAGAAACAACCCTCACTCACTATGTAAAAATTGCTACAGCTCTACCCCCACCCCTCAGAGCTGTCAATCATACAGCCGGGATGATTAGTTCCAGTTCCGTGATATCGGTTTTGTTCACAATATTATGTTCAGGGTGCTGTAGTGGTTATGGTGTGTGGAGCGTACCTTTAAACTGGATTATTTGTCCCCTATAATTTCCCATTAGGTTTGACTTGTTAATATCATTTAGAGAGCCGTTTATTTTGAATCAGTAACAACAAAAAAGTGTTGTTGAAATGTATTGGAATGGTGCGTTTGTGATCGTGGCAGTTTTAAATGTAATTATCAGGTGATTCTGTGCTTTTAATGAACACTCCATCATATCACACTGTATTTTCCATTTACATACTACACTACGTCACAAAATATTTTAATTTCTTTACACATATTTGTTCATATTTTAGATAGAATTAGCATTCGGCTGTAGTTTGGATTACGGTTTCCCAGCTGTAATAAATATAATAAGTAAAGCTTGTCCTGTAATTAATTTATCCTGCAGTTTCAGGGGACGTGCACGTTGACAAGTAAAGTCCCCAATGGTGCATCTAGGCCGGGTTGGCAAAACAGAGCAGAACTTTAACATGAAAAATGGCTGAACACTCAAAGAGAAATCAAAGAGAGTGCGCATTCTTTGTTGACTTAAAGCAACGCTTCGACTCGCTGAATGCTGGAGGCTTGATAAAGTCAATAAAGAGTGCGCACTAATTCTTCGCTGAGTGGACTTACAATACATAATACATGGTAAGCGTGTACACAGTGTAACAATCAATGCATGTGGTTCCATACCGCTATCTACGATTCCAAGGTTTTCCACAATGGAATGCGTTTGTCTGCACAGAATCTATAAATTAATAATCGCAGGTCCCAGATTGTTTTATTTGTTTTTAATTGCGTCGCAGGAAGAAGTGGTGTGCCTTAAAGCAAACATGGTAGGGCAGAGGGCCTGCCTGTGACAGATCAAATAAATGGGGCAGCTCCGTCCGCCCCAGAAACAATAAAATCTGCAGGATCCAGAGGGGGGAAACAGCAGCCTGTGACGAGAGCAATTCAATTAGCGTCAGCCCTTAGCCCCGTGCAGGGGGCGATAATTCGATTACAGGAGGCAGGCTGCTCCGCGCACAGCTCAGCAAGCTCTGCAGAGACAGACAATGGCAGATCCAAGCAAGACAAATAAATCCTCCTCTTATTCCACCTCACTTATTACACAGCAGGCTGATTATTACCCACGTAACTCGCCAACTGGCTCTGCTTGCCCCACGCAGGCCATTCAACCCTTGTGGTGCAAGTCCAAGAGAGAGCAAATCCACCCATTGCTGCCTCTTAACCCTTTCAATACAAGAGAGGGCAAATCCACCCATTGCCACTCTCTTCACCCTTTCAGTACAAGAGAGGGCAAATCCACCCATTGCCACCTCTTAACCATTTCAATACAAGGCGGGGTAAATCTGCCCATTGCTGCCTCTTAACCCTTTCAATACAAGAGAGGGCAAATCTGCCCATTGCCGCCTCTTAACCCTTTCAATACAAGACAGGGCAAATCTGCCCATTGCCTTCTCTTAACCCTTTTAGTACAAGAGAGGGCAAATCCGCCCATTGCCACTTCTTAACCCTTTCAATACAAGAGAGGGCAAATCCACCCATTGCCGTCTCTTAACCCTTTCAGTACAAGAGAGGGCAAATCCACCCATTGCCACCTCTTCACCCTTTCAGTACAAGAGAGAGCAAATCTGCCCATTGCCTTCTCTTAACCCTTTTAGTACAAGAGAGGGCAAATCCGCCCATTGCTGACTCTTAACCCTTTCAGTACAAGACAGGGCAAATCCACCCATTGCCGCCTCTTAACCCTTTCAGTACATGACAGGGCAAAGCCGCTCATTGCCGCCTCTTAACCCTTTCAGTACAATAGAGGGCAAATGCACCAATTGCTGCCTCTTAACCCTTTCAATTCAAGACAGGGCAAATCCTCCCATTGCTGCCTCTTTTAACCTATTCAGTTTAAGAGGGAGAACATTCACAAATACAATTAACTATTTGCTGTAAGATTAGCGGGCATCTCACTTAGCGCCATTCACACTGCTGAACTCTTGTTTATCAGTGACAAAGTGTCGTACATCAATCAGGGACATTCCACTTGTTTCCATGGTGATTGCTCCACTTTTAGTACATTGTTCCCCTGCTCCCCGTCACATTCTGGCAGAGGGACTGAGGCTGAAAGTGTTAGTGAGACTGGGGCGAGATACATTGTATATCTGCCTATCGGGGTATGACGCCTCGCGTGTGCAGATTCCGTGTCAATGGTGGACGTTTCTTTCCTGGATCCGATCCGCTGCGAATCCAATTCGCTTTCTCTGGCCTAGAATTTTGCAGATCCCAAGTCATTTCTTCACAGCACATGGTTTGTAAATAAACCTTGTGATCTTTATTTATGCATTATTCACATATAGCGCTCTGGTAGATATAATGCCCAGGAGATCATAGTGATTGATTCACTGTGAGTCCGCTAAGCAAGATTTACCCTTGAATTGGCTGCAAACGTAGGAGCCAAGATGAGGAATGGCTTTTAATTTAGGCAGAGGAGAGAAATTAGTGTCAAAAAAAGCATCATTGGTCCTGTCCCCCTCTCTCTAATAGGCAAATATTAATGATGGGAACTTTAAGTAAAGTGTTCATGTTAAGGGTGATATATTCCTTGTATTTACCACGATCTTATTTCAGAGCTGCCTGCAGACCTTTTCAGGAAGTGAGGCCCAGAGGATTCAAAACACATTCAGGAAGTGAGGCCCAGATAATTCAATATACATTCAGGAAGTGAGGCCCAGATAATTCAATATACATTCAGGAAGTGAGACCCGGACATTCAGGAAGTGAGGCCCGGAAGATTCAATATACATTCAGGAAGTGAGGCCCGGATAATGTAATATACATTCTGGAAGTGAGGCCCAGAGGGTTCAAAATACATTTAGGAAGTGTGGCCCGGAAATTCAGGTAGTGAGGCCCAGAGGATTCAATATACGTTCAGGAAGTGAGGCCCAGAGGATTCAATATACATTCAGGAAGTGAGGCCCAGAGGATTCAATATACATTCAGGAAGTGAGGCCCAGATAATTCAATATACATTCAGGAAGTGAGGCCCAGAGGATTCAATATACATTCAGGAAGGGAGGCTCAGATGATTCACTATGTATTCAGGAAGTGAGGCCCAGAGGAATTCTAAATTAGACTGTGCAATCAAGGAAGTATAAACATTAGATGACTCTTTACAGGATGTGTTTCGGAAAGCTGTGTAAGTCACATGCAGGGAGGTGTGTCTAGGGCTGCGTAAACAAAGTGATTTAACTCCTAAATGGCAGAAAATTGAGCAATGAGACTGCAGGGGCATTATCTATATATCAAAACTGCTTTATTAAGCTAAAGTTGTTTTGGTGACTATAGTGTCCCTTTAAGTGGAAATGTCCAGTACTCGTATTAATGCTCCACAGATCTCAACTGTATCAATAAACTCCAGCGAAAGAAAGATACTGCATAGAATGACCCCATTCTAGGACAAAGAATTAATCTTTAACTGCCACTCACAACTGATGTAAAGAATACTTGATCACAGGTGGTAAGTTCCTTTGATTTTGCATCTTCTCTTCTCAAATAACATGTTAATCAAGCTTTATTTGAGACTCCCGGGGTTAACACAGAAGGTGATTTGGGCTGTCTCCCATGATTCTCAGACTGTCTCTGGACCAGATGTTGACCATCCCGTGTTCACAACTGATGTCCACTGGGTTGATGACTAAGGAATGAGTGACTCATATGCTCAAATGGGGGGTACGTTGTAGTTTTTAAATTGTAGCAAATTCTACAGTGCCACATTCAATATATAAATGCCATAACAAGACTTTTTTCACAGAGACAGAAAAAGACAGTGTGTTTTGATGGCCTTGTCCCAAAGCTTGCAATCTAATGAAAACACTCTGCTGAAATCAAGAGGCTGGGAAGCATATATTGCTGCTTCTTGGAGAAAACAAGTGAATAGAAAATAGCGTCTCTGAATACGCCAAGACTAAAATGGTTCATGGATCCCGAGTCTATACCAGCTGCCGTGTGTATTACCCAACTGTTAGCAAGAAAGAGGCATGGTTATAAAAAACGAATGGATTCATTATTTTACATCTCTGCTATTTACTAAAATAAAACGAAATGACCCACGTCACCCAGAACACTTCATCTCAATGAAGAATCTCAGTGAAGTGGTCTTGTGTGTTTAAACCTTTGAGATAAGACAAGGAAGGGCAATATTTATCTTGACAGGTTCAACATGCCGCCCTTGCTGAACCGACCTAGTAAAACATGATCGTATCATGCGGAAGGTCATAGAAAAGCACTAAATGAAATGCCTTTCTATGAGTAGTAGTATTGGAAGCATGCGGCGCTCACCATGCAAGCGCATTAGGTCCCAATTGCTCCTCTGTGATTACCACTGGATTGGACCATTGCCAGAGGAGACCATACTTCTTCTGTGACATCACAGGAGAGGTGAGCAGCGCCAACAGAGCCTTAGCAGTGATAAAAGGTAAGAATCTCTATTTTATTAACGTGGGGGGCTACTCTAATACAAACCTGTATTCCTAGTGCTATAGCGATCCTTTAACATTAAACTGAGCTCATTGTACTGAGAGTGTAGGTACTTCCCGACTTTACTCAATGTACGAGTTTCTGTTAATGTGAATGTTCCAAAAACAACAGGTAAATTGTAAAATCTAATCGCTTTGGAAGAAACGGCTTTGGAATCAGCAGAACTCAATAGGGAAGTCAAAATCCGCAGTGAATTGAGTTCACACCTTTACGTTCTACTCTAGGTCCAAACACAAAATCAGCCCACATTGAGAATTCCATTTCTAACAGAACCGTTACTAGATGGGTTTTAAAAAGGCTAAACACACTCTAACAAATACTAAGACGTTTGCATCCATCTCTTACAAAGAAATCAATCTTCTCGTTTTTTTATTTTTGTAATACTTTGTGTTTTCATTCATTTACGCACAGTAGATGTGTCTCAGCGAGGGTACATGGTGTTTTCGAATATTTAATGTGATTTCTTTTTTTATAGGCTGTATACAAAATTTATAAGGTTGTTTAAAAGTGGATGTCATTGTTGAGAATGTGGAATTGTTATAAATAAACATTATAGAGGGAAAAAGAGGTTTAAATTAAAAAGAACATTATACATACATGTTTTTATTCTGATCTTTATGGCTATAAATAATTAAAAAGTTGTAGTTTCACAGACAATCTGGCAGAATATTATGTCTCTATTTATTATAGGGCGCCCATCGATCATCCTTCTCTAGACACATGAATAGGAAGCGCGGAATAGAATGCCGAATGAAGAATAGAAATATATATCTGTTCTCATCCCTCTGACTTTCCTGAGCGTGCCGCTGGCTTGCTTTTTATTTATCTTGTTTCATTTTGTCTGCATGTTGATTGTCTGAATGGAATGATCTGCGGCAGGAGAGGAGCTGGGCCGAATGTTGGCATTGGGAGAGACTGGGGCGCAGTAAATGTGGTGCAATCACCACCGACCACGTCTAAAAATGAATAGTTTACAAAAAACATATCTTTAAAATATTATTTTAGGCCTGGACTGATACATATGTGCTTTTTCCAAGTCGTGGTTTGGATGAGATTTTGAGATCTAATTTACATTTCTGCTTTTACTACTTGGATAGATGGACACAGAACTAGGTGAGGGCGGCTTCTGGTGTCCCCCAAATACCCATAATCCTTTGCAAACCTCCTGACTTATGGCCAGTTATAGGTTGAGATTTAGCTAAGTGTCACCTACACTTTTACAGTTATTTTTTGTCAAGTTTTTGGTTCAATTCATTAAATCTGTTGGATTTTTATTTTTTTAATCCGTTGCTCTTTTTGTGCCCTAACCATCATTTGTGGAAATGCACATTTTTTTTTTTTTTAGCGATACAACAGATTTATGAATTTATTTTTCAACAGAAATAACGACTGTTGCAATTGACTTTGAGGAAAGCCGTCACTTTTTAGATCACTTTTATGAATGCAATTAACATAATGATGGAATGTAATCACCACTGTTTAATAAATAGCTAAAATAATATTGTGCTCTGTTCAATCTGCTCTTTTTTCATCTGCGTTTCCATTTTTTGTGTTATGTATTCTTTACGTGTTTGATTTCGCGCTGTGTTCATACACCTCCCCCGGTGTGAAGAGGTGACATATGTAATCATGCAGTAAACATGACAGGTGACATTGAACAAACCTGTCGTTCTTTTATTCTACAGAAAACAGAGGTAAGCAACATGTTACTCTCTCCGTCTGCTGTATGACATCATTGCCTATCATCCTCAACCAGCTCAGAGCCAGGAAAGCTTTAAGATCAGCAAGTGACGGATAACGCGAGCCAAGACACCAAATTGTTTGATTTAAATTCCAAAAATGATATTTTAGTGACCAATCAAAGTTATGTGTGTGTAAATAAATAAAACAGGAACATGCATGGCCCGCAAGAGCTTGCAATCTAAGCCCTGACATTTCAGCCTATCTGATATTGATCTTTCCAGGATTGCTACCTTCTCTGTCCCCTGGGGATTTCAGCTGCTTTGCAAGGACTGTCCCCTATCCGATTAGCATCTGATTCCATCCTGTTAATAAGGTTTGTATCGTATTTGCAATATTTTTTGGGGTTTGCTACAAGAAATAGCCTTGACTAATATGACACAGAAATGTTCCAACTCTAATGAGAATAAACGTCGGAGACGGGAAGCTGAAAGTTGATAATCACCATGTTAATAACATCCTTATCAGTCTTCGGTGACCCTGACTCACAGAGGATGCTGGCTTAGTACATACTGCATGACAATAAACACACTACAATAACTGATATATCTCTGTGTTAGAGAGGGTTATAAAGGGTCCACTAAACACTGGCAGGGTTTATCAAGTTAATTTAAAATGAGTTTCAAATTTAGAGTGGTCCTCCCACTTTCAGCATATTTTGGTGGGGGTGCAGTGGCCCAGGCTGCAGCGGGGTGAGTTATACTTATTAAAAGCAGTCCTCATGCTTCATCCACCAGGAGCCCACATGAGTACTGTCTAACATGGATGTCTATGGAGGATCCTGCAAGACTGCAGGAGCCTCCATAAATCTTCTCTATGAGCGAGACAATACATTATTGACATCGTTTTCGCTAGCTGGTTCGGGAGAGATGTGTCAGAATTACAAGTTGATCCAGCATGTAGAATTGTGTCACACAGATGACTAATAGGTAACGTATTACCGGGCCTTAGAATGGCTGGACTTAACGTACCAAAGAATAATCAGGATACTTGCCGAGGTCAGGGGATACAGAAAGGGACACAACGATAAGGGAAAGCCAGAAGTCAGGGATACAGAATACAAGGAAGTCGAAATCAAAGCCAAAGACCAGAAGAAACTTGAATCAGGAACGCGCTCTCAGACAACCACAAGGGAAACCACGACAGGGCACTGAGCAGGATGAGAACTGGGCCCTCTAGATCTGATAGGCTGGTTGCTGCTCGGCACAACTTTTCCTGTGATGACAGTAAATGCCATTAACCACATTTTTATAAGCGGATGAATACGTGACAAGATGGAGGTAAGATAAAATTGGGTTTGGGCGAGATAGAGATAAGATAAGATGACCTTAGAAGAGATAATAAGATCAGGAAAATGAAGATGAGATAAGTTATGGACTGAGGATAGATGGAGATGGGATAAGATCGTTTTGAGGAAAGATGGTGGTGAGATAAAATTGGGTTTGGGAAAGATGGAGATGAGATAAGATCTGGTGCAGGAGATGTGGAGGTGAGCTAAGATCAGGTTTGGGAGAGATGGAGAGGAGATAAGATCGGGAAAATGGAGGTGAGATAAGATCGGATTCAGGAGGAATGAAGGTAAGAAACAGGGCCGGATTAAGAGCACAGTGGGCCTGGTGCTGACAATTATGATGGGCCTAATTACGGAATCTTATCGACCAAAAACACTAAAACAGTCATACCTCCCAAGCCTCATGTATCTGATGGAGATGGTGCTGGAGGGAAACTCATAGGATGCAGCTCTAAGAAAACAAACACTCTATGCTAATCTTTCTCTAATTCATGCTTTCATCTTTCAAGTAAATCCATAACCCCTAACAGCAGTGTCGAGTGAAGCAGGAAGTCAATGGGCGGGGTAAAAGGGTGTGCCACTAGCGCGAATCACGTGACAAGACCTGCCAAAAGGGGTGAACATGCCCAAAAAGGGGGCATGTTTGTCCAAAGAATTGGAAGGTCAGCCTGGGATGAATGCATGTCAGGCTGCCTGCCAATCCTGCAGGCTGTCCAACTAAGGGCATACTATGCAGACAGCACCTTGAGCTTGACATAAATGCATCTAATGATGCGCTCACTCCATTCTTTCTAAGGACTGTCCCCTAGCACTCGCTGGTCCACTTGTCACCTTGCCTTCTTACTAGCAGACAGAAGTTCGTGGTATATAGTCTGGGACAGAGAAAAGGTGTATGTAGTGAGTGTGGAAGAAAGGGGACATGCCACAGTGTTAGAGAAACCAACGTCTGCATTACCTAAACTAACTTTAATGTCAGCCAGTGCACACAAGTTTTGTTCCCATACATCCCTCTTAAGCTTCCAAACTTAAAGGGACACTATAGTCACCAGAACAACTACAGCTTATTGTATTTATTCCGGTAAGTAGAATAATTCCATTCAGGCTTTTTGCAGTAAACACTGTCTTTTCAATGAACTCGACTGGTCGCTCCTTAGATGGCTGCTAGAGGTGCTTCCTGGGGCAGTACTGCCTAGTGTGCAGCACTGCCATTCAGTGTCTCCACCCTCTGCATGCAGTCACTGAACTTTCCTCATAGAGATGCATTGATTCAATTTATCTTTATGAGGAGATGCTGATTGGCCAGGACTTGTGCTGGCTCTGCCCCTGATCTGCCTAGTTGACAGTCTCAGCCAATCCTATGGGGAAGTATTGTAATTTGCTCAGACCACCACTTCTGAGCCAGCAGCTGCAGAATTGAATACAAGTAATATTTTACTAGATTTAGGGAGGCAAGAAGGGGCCAGGGTGGTGGTTTTAACATAATAGGATCAGAAATACATGATTGTGTTCCTGACACTATAGTGCTCCTTTAACCCCTTAAGACACATGACATGTGTAACATATCCTGATTCCCTTTTATTCCAGAAGTTTGGTCCTTAAGGGGTTAAGCAAGAGTATGTGAAGAGTAGTTAAGTTTGCCACCTTTCTTGGAAAAAAATACCAGCCTTAATCATTTGTATAATTAATTAGTTATGCATGTAAATCACAAGGAGTGACTTCAGAGAAAATTCTGTAAAGTCACCAACAAACTACTCACAGTTTGATTCTGCTGTATAGATGGATTGCTCCCAGTGTCTCCTTGTCTCCCAGTGTCTCAGTCTCGCAAGTCACCCAGTGTTTCAGTGTCCCTATGTATCACAGTGTCAGTGTCCCCATGTCACCTCAGTCCCCTAGTCTCCCAGTGTCTGTGTCCCCATTTCTCCCAGTGTCCCAATGTCTCAGTGCGTCCCCATGTCACTAGGATACTGGGGACACTGAGAGACATGGAGACACTGAGAGACCCGGGGACACAGAGACATGGGGACACTGAGACATTTAGGGAAACTGGGAGAAATGGGGACACTGAGACACTAGGGACACAGACACTGGGAGACATGGGGACACAAACATTTGGGGACACTAAGACACTAGGGACACAGACATGGGAACACAGACACTGGGAGACTAGGGGACACTGGCTGGGAGACAGACACTTGGGGACATAGACACATTGGGAAAGTTGTGGACATAGACATGTGGACACGTGGACATATAGGGACACTGGGAGACGTGGGAACACCAGGCACACTGAGACACTAGGGACACAGACACTGGGAGACTAGGGGACACTGGGAGACTAGGGGACACTGGCTGGGAGACATGGGGACAGTTGTGGACATAGACATGGGGACATGGGGACACACGGCACACTGAGAGACATGGGACACAGACACTGGGAGACTTGGGGACACTAGGGACACTGGCTGGGGGACATAGTGTCTCCGTGTCCCAATGTATCCCAATGTCCCTATGTCTCACAGCGTCCCCATGTGTCTCAGCATCCCCATGTGTCCCCTAGTGTCTCAGTGTCCCCAAGTGTCTATGTCCCCAGGTCTCACAGTGTCTGTGTCCTCATGTGTCCTAGTGTCTCTGTGTCCCCTAGTGTCTGTGTTCCCATGTGTCCCCTAGTGTCTGTGTCCCCAAGTGTCTGTGTCCCCTAGTGTCTCAGTGTCCCCATGTTTTCCAGTGTCCCCGGGTGTCTCAGTGTTCCCAGGTCTCCCAGTCAGGGGCGTATTATGGGCATACTCAACGTCAGGCCCAGGGGCCCAAATCTTGAGCTTTGTGACAACAGTTACAAACAGCCTTCAGCAATCCTGTTCTACACCAGACCAGTGGAGCCAAACTGCAGCCAGAGCCCATCACCATCCTCATCTGGTTGTAAGTAGGCAATCTAGTATATTATTAGTGACACTAATCTATAATTTACCTCACATTAAAGGGACACTATAGTCCCCAGAACCACTGCAGCTTAATGAAGTCCCTGCGGGTTTTTTAATGTAAACACACACTGTGTGCAGCACTGGCATTAGTTCATATGGCAGATCATATGGGTGGGGCATTGTGATGTTACATGGGGGGGGCAAAATTTTTATTTTGCCTAGGGTAAAGTCAGTAAATCCCCCCAAAGACGAGACAAGGCTCCGTGTTGAGGGTCAAGCAGTGGTCTGTTTAATTAGGGCTACCTGCCCAGTATTTTTGCAGGTCTCCCACCTGGTGGACACTCCCCTAGGGGACCAAATGGGAGACTGTGACAAGGGACAAATGGGCTCCATGGGATTCCTATCTGGGGTATAACACATTCAAACAAAACTACCGAACACCGGGCCGTTCGTGCACTTTCACCGAACAAGAAGGGAGGTCGGCGGCTTCAGCGGTGTTCGCGCAAAACTGTGTCCGATTTCAGTTCCATGAATTAAGCGTCGAACACCGCTGTCCATTCGCATGTTTAAAATGGCCGCAACCTCATGTTGTGATACGAATTGCGGCCACCCAGCATTCATCTATTAAGCTGCGGTTAACCGCAGCTTCAGGGAGGTTAATTGCTGGCACACTCCAGCTCCCAGGTGGTCTATTCATTCGTGCGGTTGTTCGGTAGATTGAATCTACCGAACACCCGGCAGAAAAGCACGAATAAGTCTTTTCTGCAGGGAAAAAAGATTTCTTTTAACATGGGGCCATAGTCCAAAGGCAGCAGGCGAGCAACCAGGCTTCTCCAATGCAATGTGGCGAGATTGCTCTCGTCACACGGATAAAGACAAGTCTTTCCAGAAGCTTTAAGGAAAAAGGTAGCAGGGATATGGGACGATAGTTAGAGGGGGAGGACGGGTCAAGAGATGTTTTTTTCAGGATAGGTACTACAGTGGCATGTTTAAGGTCAGCAGGGACAATGCCAGAAGAGAGAGAGCAGTTGAAGATGTGTGTTAAGGAAGCCACAAGACAAGGGGAGAGAGTTCTGATAAGGTGAGATGGGACAGGATCAAGCAGGCAAGTGGTGGGGCGAGAGGAAATGAGAAGCACAGCCACATCTTGTTCAGTAGCCGAGGAGAAAGTCTGAAGGATAGGAAAGGCATGTGTGGTTGAGAAAGAGAACAGCAAGGTGGGGAGATATGGGATAAGATCTGGAGAGATGGAGATAAGATAAGACCAGGTTCAGGAGAGATGGAGATGAGATAAGATCAGATTCGGGAGAGAAGGAGATGAGAAAACGAGGTTCAGGAGACATAGAGATTAGGTAACATTGGGTTAAGGAAAGAAGATGTGAGAAGATTTTCAGCAATGTTTAATCTATAATGAATCTGAGCTAGTATTCTGCAGGACGTAGAGTATCTTCCTGAAGAAATGCTACCACTGCTTCATCCCGTACACCTTACTCTGCATTGCGTGATATTGGTGCCACAAAGCCCAGTGACTCGACGTGGCACCCATGATTTATTGTAAAATGTCATGTTGGAAAAAGATAAAATAGCAGAGAGAAATTACCGTCTTCCCTTCAAATCAAACTAATAAGTAAAGGGGTTTGAGGGAGAACTGAGCTGCAGGCAGTGACAAAACATGGGCTTAAAGGGAACCCCATTGCCCAAATACAAAATAAATTAAAATCACTGTTTAGTAGATATAACCCCAAATGAAAACATACATGCATTTAATTAAGTGATCCACAATCAGACCCAGGAGTCCAGGACCCCATTTAGAGATCCCCCTCCTGCATAACACCCCCGGCTTGTGACTAAGTGTCCAGTTGTATCTAATTATTGGAATACTCCTGGACACAGGGAACGACAAGCAGTGAAGGATAGGAGTTATATGCTTTGAGGACTCCAATTAACAGGAACCTCAGCCTGCCTCTTCACCTGTAATGATGGGATAGTTGTATGTGGCTGGCTGAGAGTCACAGCGGTTGGAGTCTCAGACAGTATCAATCACATTATAAGTAGCATCACATTACCAGTTTCCAGATGTACTGAGAATCCCCCAGTCATTGTCCCCCCCCTGGCCCTGGATTCAGACTCCGGCCAGCCTGGTCTGGTGGCAGATTGTTGCCTAATTAGTTTAAAGGGGAAAATAGTAATTAAATTAAGTTTCTCTATTCTCCACAACTCCAGCAGGCTGACAGTTGGGTCTTTTCTCATTCAGCAGACATTTCCCATCTCCTTGATCTAATTAGCTTGTTTAGCAACCTGCTCCAGTCCAAAGGCAGCGGCCCTAGACCAGCAGCTGGGGGCCACGGACCCTTGGAAATGTCTCTATACCCCCTGACACATTGAACTGCAGCGGGAGGTCAGTGTGCCAAAACCAGACTCTCCTCCCAAATTATCCCAAACATACGGACAAAGGGACGGATTAACCCATCAGATGTTTAAACAGTAACTAGATGCATTCTTGCAAAAACAGAATATTCAATGATGTAATTTTCAACTGTGGGGTAATAGCCTTTTGATCCAAGGTAAATCTGACTGCCATTCTGGGGTCAAGAGGGAATTTTTTTTCCTAACTTGTTGCAAAATTGGAAGTTCTTCAAACTGGGGTTTTGTTTTTTTTGTTGCCTTTTTTTGGATCAACAGCAAAAACCAGATGTGAGGAAGGCTGAATTTGATGGACACATGTCTTTTTTTCAGCCTATGTAACTATGTAACTATGTAACCAGGCCCGGACTGGCCATCGGCCACACCGGGCAAATGCCTGGTGGACCGCGATGGCCATGGGCCGAATCCGAAAAGGGAAGGTCACAGGACCTCCCCTGACAGTCCATGTAGGGCCAGCGCTATCTGAGCACTGGCCCCACTGTGTTCCATGACGGCCAGTGGGGAGATCAAAGATCCCCCTCACCGGCCCACAGGAAATTTCATGCGGCTGCCTGATGGGGAGGGAGACAGGAGGAGACATGGCAACGCTCCGGGTCTCGCAAGAATGAACTCTAACCCCACAGGCTAGAGTTCACACACCATTAGCACCTCCAGGGATGGGAGCACAGTCCTCCCTCCCAGGCTAAAGGTAAGAAGGGAGGGGGGATACAATCCCTCGTTTTTTTTTGTTTGTTTTTTTATTATTATTATTATTATTTTTAAATAATACATACCGAAAAAAATACACATTATTAAAAAACCTGCCTCCCTCCAAACACCACACACACACACACAACACCCTAACACACACCACCCTCACACACAGTGCCCTCACTCACACACACAGCAAGCTCACACACACACACAGCACCCACCCAAACACACACAGCACACCTCACACACACAGTACCCTCACACACAGCACCCTCACACACACACTGCACCCCTCACACACACACACACGCACACTATAATCCTCACAAATACACACCACACCTCTCACACATAGACTCTACACCGTTCACACACACACACTGCACATCTCACACACATTTTTCCTAGTCTGGCCCTGTATGTAGCCCTTTACCTGCTGGCTGGGGTTTGACCAGAAACCATTTCATTTTCCATGCCTTACTTCATTAGAACATGTATCAGGGCATTTATCCCCTGCTCCGATACAGTCCCAATCCCCCCCACCACCCCAGGACCCCTAATAAACCTGATAAAATTCAATATTCTCTCTGAATTAACAAGAAATCACCTGATTCCCCTCTGGGAAATATAATCATTAACCCAATAACTGACTGAGCTCACAGGTTATCTAACTCGGCACTTTGTATAAAATTTTCAATGGCTAGATCTCTCATGGACAGAGCCCTCTTTACTTTTTGTATTTGTCTGTGTATGTTGTACTGTTTATTTTCCTCAATTGTACCGTGCTGTGGAATATGTTGGTGCTTTATAAATGCCAGTATTTATAATAATAATATAATAATAATAATAATAGTTAAAGGGAAAGTCGAGTCGATGCATATTTTTATGCATTTGAATAATACTGTTAAATAATTTTTCTAGGTCCAAAAAACCCTACATGGTTTGCAACCTGTGTAGCTAAGCTGATCCATCTATGCCAAGCACTGATCTCCTTGTTCATGTTGGGCAGCATCCAATCAAATGTTTAGAATAAAGTACACACAGTCAGCGCATCTAGATGTTATAAAACCATACTTGGAAAAAAGAATGACACACTGATCAGCCACAACATTAAAACCACCTGCCTAATATCGAGGAGGGAATACTCATGCTCCCAAAACTGCTCTGATGGATTGAGGCATGGACTCCACAAGACCTATGAACTTGTCCTGTGGTATCTGTCTGTGTTCCAGCATATCCCACAGATTCTCAATTGGATTGATATCTGGAGAATTTGGAGGCCAAAGCAAACCTTGAACTCTATCATGTTCCCCATATCATTCCTGAACCATTTTTGCAGTGTGGTAAGGTGCATTATCCTCCTGAAAGAGGTCACTGCCCTCCGGGAACACCATTGGCATGAAGGGGTGTACATGGTCTGCAACAATTTCCATGTAGGTGGTATGTGTCAATGTAACATCCATATGAATGCCAGGACTCAAGGTTTCCCAAAAGAACATTGCCCTAGCATAACACTGCCTCTGGCCGCCTTCTTCCCATAGTGCATCCTGCTGCCACCCAGGCATCCACCTGAACTAAAAGAAAACTTGATTTATCATACCAGGCAACCTTCTTCCATTGATCCATGGTCCAGTTCTGATGCTCAAGGCCCATAGATGGCACTTTTGGCAGTAGACAGGGGTCATCATAGGCACTCCGACCTGTGAGTGGCTACGTTGTCCTATATGCAGCAAACTGCGATGTACTGGTGTATTCTGACACCTTTCAGCATTAACATTTTTTTCAGCAATTTAAGCTACAGTATCTCTTCTGTGTGATTGTACCAGAAGGACTAACCTTTGCTCCCAATGTGCATTAATGAGCCTTGGGCGCCCATGACCATGATGCTTGTTCACTGGTTGTCCTTCCTTGTACCACTTTTGATAGGTACTAAATACTGCATACCGGGAACACCCCACACTTGCCATTTTGGACATGCTCTGACCCAGTACTCTAGCCATCACTGTTTGGCTCAGATGCTTTTATTTGTCCATTTTTCCTGCTTCCAACACATAAAATTCAAGAACTAACTGCTTACTTGCTGCCTAATATATCCCACCCTGTGACAGGTCCCATAGTAACGATATAATCAATGTCATTCACTTCACCTTTCAGTGGTAAATCAGTGGTCACATTATTAAATTATTAAATAATGAAATCATGAGCTGGGCCCATAACTTCAGACTCCATGTCGGCCCAAGGGGGATTACCAAGCTTAAATGTGAGCTGCCATGGCCGTGTTACAGAACATTAAAAGAGGACACAGGCCCAGATCTTCCTTGACTGCAGGCTATACTGGACCTGGCACACAATGTGCGGCTTCTTACTTTCCCAACTTATTGATCACAGTCAGCAGGGTTTTTAAAATCTGCCTGAGGGACTGCTAACGGCAAAGTATAACGGTTTGTATAAGGACATCATTTTGAAACAATGGATTATCCCAATCCAAGAGACAGCGTTTTCATCCCCTGTCTCCAATTCCTGAGAACCCGCTCCAGCACACCAAACACGGAGCACGTGAGATACATGATATAATGGATGGGGTGACAATGCAAGAATATAGTAAGAATATTGATCTACTACAAACCTGCAATTTGGCGGGTGCATCTGGATCTGTTATAAGAATGATTCAAAGGAAAAACAACGAGGGCAGGAAAGAGTGGGCACCCAGCCTGGAGGGCAGGAAAGAGTGGGCACCCAGCCTGGAGGGCAGGAAAGAGTGGGTACCCAGACTGAAGGTCAGGAAAGAGTGGGCATCCAGCCTCGAGGGCAGGAAAGAGTGGGCACCCAGCCTGGACAGCAGGAAAGAGTAAGCACCCAGCGTCAAGAGCAGGAAAGAGTGGGCACGAGGCCTCGAGGGGAGGAAAGAGTGGACACCCAGCCTCAAGGGTGGGAAAGAGTGGGCACCCAGCCTCAAGGGTGGGAAAGAGTGCGC